GGCCAGGGAAAGTCCGGCGGCGGCAGCCAGGGATCCCCGGGTGGCAGACGTCGCCCGATTGTTCGGGGAGCCAGTGGATGAAGAGGTTCCCGAGCCCAGGCCCAGGTCCAGGCACGCGATCGCCGGAAGCCTGGCTGCGTTGCCGTATCTCCGCCTCCGTCAACCACTTAGCGTTTTAGGCCTTAATTACCAGCAGTTTCTTCGCCAATATCTGGAAAATTACCCGATTGCTCCGGGCAGAATACAGGAGCTTGAAGAACGCCGCAGGCGGTTTGTGGAAGCCTGCAGAGCAAGGGAAGCGGCGTTTGATGCCCAGTATCTTCGTAATCCTCGGAGGATGGATTTTGATATTTTAACATTTACTGTTGCTCTGACTGCATCTGAAGTTATCAATCCTCTGATAGAAGAACTTGGTTGTGATAAGTTTATCAATAGAGAATAATTAAGCGATGACTACTTCAAGAGCATCTCTGCACTCAAGACAGTTTTACCAATCCTGTAACTTGATGTTAAGAAGCCAGAGTATATTGAGAATAAGGCAATGGACAGTTGGGGGTCGGGGGGGAAGAAGCTTATCACAAAAAAGCATCACAAAAGAAATAGAAAGCATTATAAGACGCCTGCGACGTTCTTTGAGTTTGTGATTGATCTACATTCTTTTCCCTGCGTTATGGGAAATGTCTGTCAATATTGCTTCATTCGAAAGTAATAGAATGGTTTTATAAAACTGAGACTCGATGAAGAAAAATCACCAAGAACACAGCCAATGATGATGAAAGAAATGAAGAATAAAGAAAGACTAGATGAAAAGAATAAAGAATTACACCTGAGACTTGAAAGCTATGGCCAGAACTTGAAATTGTCAGACAATGTGCTCTCTTCATGTCGGATTCAACAGAAGTTTTTAGTGTAAGATTGATTTTGTGTTTTCTGAGGCATTTCAAGTGGCAAGCAAAGTAAATAGTGTATATATTACATGACAAATCATGTTTTCAGGAATACCAAATTTCTAGATTTTTTTCTTTCAATTTTTTATTTTTATTTAAAGTGGGTTTTTTTTTTTTTGGTATATAATGTATTCACAAGCCAAAAATATATAAAATGTACTGTGAAAAGTCTTCCATTCTTGTCCTCCTTTACCCAGTACCCACCACAACAATTCCCCTTCTGCCCTTCTAGTTCCCTTAGGTATACACAAGCAAATACACATCTGGGTTTATTTGTTCCATTTCTTCACAAAAGTTGGTATATCCACTGGTTGGTCCATTGCTTTTTCATTAAGAACATATCTTAAAGAGCCTTCCAACCCTCTGTATTTACCCATTCTTTTTTGAAGCTGCATTTTATTCCATTCTGTAGTTACGTTGTAATTTACTTAACCAGGAACGTATTGAGGGACATTTAGGTTATTTTGCTTTTTTTTCTATTGGCAAAAATAATACAACAGTCCATCTTGTGTGCGTATCATGTGGCATGTGCACAAATACAGTATTGCTTTGGTTCTAAGTGCACTTTGCATATTTTAACATTTCTGAAATTGGGTTATATCTTACAACTGATGGTGTAATACCACATTTTTTCCTTAGGTTTTCATAGAACTAATGATGTGTCTTAGCTTCTTAGATTTTTTGTTGTATGTAATATCTGTAGGATAAATTCCCAGAAGTGGGAATTCTGGACTAATTTTATAGATAGTGCTAAATTGCGTTCCATACATGTACTGCTTTCCATTCCCACAAGCATTTGATGCACATGGATATTTACCTAGCCAACACAAAAAACCCTCAAATATCTGGATTTTACCAATCTGATAGTTGAAAAAGTGGTATATCAGTTTTAATTTGCTTTTATCTTACTATGAGTGAAAATAGATATCTTTTCATTTAAAGAATCAAATATATCCCCTTTTCCATGAACTGTTATCTGTTCATAGCCTTTATCCATTTCTCTCCTGAATAATTTTGTCCTTTCTTTACTGACTCTGGTAGCTATTTATGTGTTAGTGAAATGAGGCATGATAGTAGCTTGTGAGTTACAAATATTTTTTTCCCAATTTGTCATTTGTCTTTGGCTTTTCTTTCTTTCTTTCTTTCTTTTCTTTCTTTCTTTCTTTTTTTTTTCAGAGACAGGGTCTTGCTCTGTCACCCAGGCTGGAGTACAGTGGCATGATCACAGTTCACTGCAGGCTCTAACTCTTGGGCTTAAGGGATCCTCCCACCTCAGCCTCCCAAAGTGCCAGGACTTCAGGCATGAGCCACCATGCCCAGCCTGTCTTTGGCTTTTCTGAAAGCCTTTTGGGTGTAGGGATTTTTATTTGTTTCCTGTTTTCCATTAAGTTAAACCTGCAGGATTTTGAATCTCAAGGTTTCTCAGTCTGTGTGGATGTGTGTGGATGGGCTTTCATTGTTCATATTTGAATCTTTGAATCATTTGGAATTTATCCTGAGGTACAATATAAAGATTCTGTTTTTTTTTAAAGATGGCTGCCTGGTTGGTGTAACACCAGTTACTAAGTGGTCCATCTTTTCTCCACTAGTTTTATTTTAAGATGCCTTTTCATATAGAAACTTTTAGATTGTACTAGTTCTAAATCTGGTAATGCTATAAGCCCTCATTATACTTCTTTCTCAGAGTGATTCTGGCTTTTTTTGTCATTGTCCATTATATTACTATATAAACATCAAAGTCATTATACCTTATTTCAAACAAAACCTTTTTATTAAAATCATATTATGCTTAATTAACTCAAGGATAACTACTATCTTTAAGATACCATCTTCCTATCCAAATGATCTATTTTTCAAAAGACTTCCTTTGTATC